TTGAAATTTTCAACATTTTTTCCATTCCTCTTAATTTTGTATTCATTAACATAGATTGTAACTTTCAATCTATGTAAATTATTTAATTTTATGTAATTTGCTTATGCTATTTTTGCTATTTGTCAAAACATAACACTTGACAGATTGCAACAGTGATACCAATGACTTGCGTAGCCAATATAGGCCAGCATGCATTTTTTGCCATACTTGTGAGCCACCAAAAAGGCTTAATATTAAATTAAAAATGTTATCATATTTGTCCAATTGTAAACGTTTTAATTGAACACACCCTAATTAATAAAACATATTTTCAGTAGTTGGTAACGCGATATACTTTATGAAATTTGCTTGCTGTCATTTTTTGTTTGTTTATATATTATCGTCTGATTAAAGCGGGTAATGCGATATAATCAAATATGGAAGAGTTGAGTCAAAGAAATATAGCGAATTGCTTGATACAATTTATACTTAATAATGCTGCATCCAAAATACCAATAAAGGCGAGTGATATGGCGCAAATTGCTAATGTGCCTTCAAAATCTCTTGCAGTGCCTTTGGAACATGTTGGTGAAATATTGAAAAAGGTAAGTACGTAAAGAAAATATTTATTTGTATTATTTATATTTTAAATTTATTATTTTTCTTTACTTGAACAGAATTTCGGTATAATACTTCAAGTTGTACCTAATGTTTCACCCAAGCGGTATATATGCATTTCGGAGCTTTGTGGAGTAACACCATTGCAACTTGACGAAAAACAAAAAAGAGAACAAATACTGTTATTTATAATTTTAGCATATATCTTTATGATTCAATCGCCATTGCAAGAAGGTATAAAATCGTACATGAGAGAACTGTTATCAAATACAATAGTTTCATTTTAATTTGTTTAGAACGTTTGGAGAAATTTTTATATACTCTTGATATTAATGTAAATGAAAATCACCCATTTTTCGGTAATGTTAAAAAATTAATTACTGACACTTTTATCAAACAGTTGTACCTGAAACGAGAAAAAAGGCATTCCGACGTCGATGCTGAAACACAGTTCGTATTCCATAACCAAACACTGAATTTGTATAATTTTAAAAGTTTATTGTAGGTTTATTTACTCTTGGGGTTATCGCAGTACTGTAGAATATACAAAAATGGACATTTTAAATGCTACAGCAAATGTATTTATACTTCTAATATATATATTTTATGACATATTAAATTTTGTAATTTTAGATAATGGGTAAAAGTCCCGATTTTTTTATTGATCAATATAAAGAAGCACAAAGAACTGAAAACCCAGAAAATGTGGATCAATAATGAGTAAAGCAATCTTGTATAATTCATAGAAATAATTTTATGTATATTCCAGTTATAAAAAGATTAATTTTAAATAAAATAAATTTCAATATTTGCACTTATAAGAATATATCAAATCACATTTTTATATGGACTTGCGTCCGATTACTCTTTTTTAATTCTATTAAAATTTAAAGGTAATTTGGAGATAAAAGGTTTGTTACACCAGTGTTCTTATGGTCTATAATTATGTTTCCAAATTTGTGTTCATAAGAGTCATATAAGTAGATTACATATAAGTAGATGTTCGCATATATAATTTTACAAGCAAGATAATGGTTCAAACACAATCATTAAAGGAACATACAAAATTACACTTCCAAAAAGAATGGTTAGTTCATACGTATTTATTGAATAATATGTTTAATCGCTAATACGGATTGATGAACCACACGTAACCGATTATGCATGTATGCATCCATACAAATCATGAGCTATATAAGCTTTTCCTCAATAATGAATAAAAATACTGCTACAATGTCATTATAAGGATACAAGATGAAGTTGCACTGAAAAAGACGATTAAAACTGATCAAGTTGTGGAAATAAGAGCGGTGGTATGTATGTAATGAAGTCGTAAATCTCAACCAGAAAATGCATTGCATTCAATGAGACCCAATAGACATTTTTAGGTTTGTTAATATAATTTTATTTAGCGGACTTTGTATAGTGATAACACAATATGTATCATAAGTCACAATGTAACATTTTTTTTTCAAACAATAATAATAGTTATGTCCTTAACTACTCATCAAGACAGATGACTAAATGTTATTGTTGTTGCAACCCGCTGGGATCTGTTTATAAAATCCGGCACTTGAACTCGGCCGTTCAAATATTCTATCTGCTACATGTATAAAAGCTAACTTGTAGATAAATGAAGTAGAAAAAAGATCACAATCCTCTTAATCTAATTGGGAAGATCGATACAATTAGTAAGAAAAAAAATAGTTTTGATTCCCCATTTCTCGTAATTTGGGAAAGCATGTTTTAGAATCAACTGACCTATTACTGATGAATGCAGGTTTAAATGCGCTAATTGTTACAAATAAGAATGTAACCATAGTAAAAATAGAAATAAATGACGACTCAAAATAGCTTTATTATAAACTTTTGATTTTAGAGATAGTTTTAGGATCATAGAATCGATGTCAGCCATATCAGTCGTGGATATTTAGAAGCCAAGGTTATAGTAGACAAATATTTAAAATGAAGAGAAAATATTTACCTGATGTCAACTAATAAAAAAAATGAAAAACTTGTTCAAATGAAAGGAAGCAAACATTTTGCAGACCATGTATGTTTATTTTATTTTACCAAATTTGCTTTAAATATAACACACATTGAAAATTACAAATTTTATTAATATTAACAATTAATATAATTAATATTAAAATTGAAATGTTGTTTGGTTGTTAGTTTGGTTGTTCATCCATTGAATATTCATGGTAAAATAGGCCTGACTCGGATTTTGTCTTAAAATTATGATACAAAATTATTGTAAAATGAAACTAAAACTTTGGGGAAATTTTAGTTTATATTAATTAAATACGAAAAAAAGTAAATTCTACTCAAATATTTTCCATCACCGTATGATTTGATGTTAACAAATTAATGAAGAAAAGCTTTAAATTTAAAAAAAAAAGTTGCTAAAAATTAGAACAAAAATGACGAAAACCATACAAATATTTCATTCAAAAACTATAAAAAAAAATATTTTCAAAATATTAAAATAAATGCTACACAAAATAAATTTCGATTGATTAGTTTTCATTCTTATTGATAAATTTCATAACAACTTTTCCACTTTGTACTTCGAGGGCATAGAGACTGCCATCGTTGATTTCATTGTTCAGGACTTCATCGGTCACGGTCACGTGTATGCCGGATGGGCCGACCACGTATATAAAGTTTTTATTGGCATCATTGAATATATTGGAACCACTGCCAGAGTATTTTGAGTGCATGCTCCAGTTATTGTACAAGGCACCATTTTCCAATGTGTTATTGGGTGGTGAGTTGGCAACCATTTCATAAAAGCCCGGAATTTTAACAAGCTTCTGTGTTAATTCCTTAGAGGTATTTGCTATTAAATAGATTGCATTATAGTTATGGCCATCAATGCTAACGTAAATTGTCAGGCGTGGTTTAATTGCTCTGCAAGAAAGGATATATGTAAATAAGTAAATTTTGATTAATATTTAATTAGTCTGTATATAAAAAAGTTTTCAAAAGTAATGAAGGCGAAACAGTTTTTCGCTATAAAATATATGATTAAAAATTATTTATGTTCTATGACAAGAAATCTATTTTAATCACATGGGTTCTTGGGCTGATTATACAGCTGCTTCGGATATTGCCAAATAGCCATCATCACTCTAAATTTAACAGAGGCAAATGAAGAGTACGTTGAAGTGTTAAGTTAACACGCAAGTCCACGGCTCAAATTTGACTGGGATCAATTCTAGACACAGTCCAAAAATTGCACACGTCTATATTGAACCAATAGATGTTTTCAAACACTACTGATGATGGATGCTTGGCAATATCCCAAAAAGTCTAATGGCAAGCTCAAAAAATCATTCATTCCACACTATTTTTTTTTAAAATTTTAGAAATTTAAAAACTACACCTTTTTTCTTGGGCGTAACCAAAAAGTTAAAACGTATTGTTCAAATTAAAACTATATCCAAGACTATATTTGTCCCTAAATGAGATTAATAGATTGAAAGCTATCTTGTCTAAAAATTAAAACCAGATATATGATTTTAATGCAATAACATTTTTTTTTTTATAACTATATAACTATATCAGTTATTAATCATTATTAAATAAAGAAATAAAATATATGAATCTCAACTTCATTGGATATTTTTTTTGGTCGATTGTTATAAATTGAATCATTATTCAATAATGAGCTATAAAATTTTTGAATGGGACGTTAGCAAGTAAAAAATTTACTTGATTTGATAAAGTGAAATCTTAAAATCTTGTTTGTTGAAGACGAATTGTTTTGCTATAATTTTAAAATTTGAAGATTTATCCTTCCTATCGCTCCCCCAACCCGTTTGTAGGGTATGCCACTATCTGTACATAAACTTACTTTGCACGAAGTATGTTAAACATGCGAATTCCATCTGCAAGGCCACATATTTGTATTAGATCCTCCTTCGACATTCTAAAAAAAATTAATTAATTTAGTAAAAAATTTATCATTTAAATTGTTAATGTTTTGTAATAATTATATTAATAATGACAAACATTTAAATAAATTTTTAAAAATAAATGTAAGGATTTGACGATTTTATGTATTCTAAAAATGTGGTTTAAAAGATTGCATTCCAAAGAACGGGACAAGCAAGTGTCGGTTAGATAGATTCACTCCTAATGTGTTATCAAGATTTGATGACATATATCAATATGTTATGTGTTATATGTTTAGCTTATTTATTTATTTTTTAATATAAATTTCTTTTCTAGACTTACTTATGCAAACAATTTTTGAACCTGATGTGGGCTTATAGCAACCAATTTAGTATTAGCCTATGTGTATAATCTGGTGAATAATGTGTATAATCAGTCAACGCTCTTAAAACAAAGTGCTAATGTGTATAGTATATGGAAATGTAGATGTAAGTGTGATTGTAAGTGAATTCAATAAATTAGTAAACGAAATCATGAAAAGAAATTGAAAGAAATAACTAAACATCTTAGCACGTCTAACCTAAATTAAATAAATAAGAGTCCAATCCTATTATTGGATTAAGCTCATCTAACGTAAAGCACTACTTAACCGTGAGTCTGAGTCGTATAATAGTGAAGGCATATGTATTCAATAGTAGAGTAGTAATAAGTGGGGTGTAAAACCCGTGCGCTACTGGGAAAAAAGGTACCAATTGGTCCTCAAAATAAACATACTGGAGTATATTTGTATAATATATATTTTCAAAGTGCGCCAATACGTTATGGCACCACTAAGAAGCAGTAAATATTTGCTTCACAGAAGTAAATGTATTTTATATAAAACCAAAATTGTTTGAAAGTCATGTGGTTACTCGTTACAATGATTTAACTTCTGTAGAAGTTAAACAATATAAAAAAAAACTTTTTTACATAAATACAATTTTAAATTCACCATTTTAGAATAGAAAAGATGTTTATAAAATATATAATAATAAAAATCTTTTTCATACTAATATTTATATTTAAGTGACTTACCTCAAGATATCAGACCCAGAGAAGTGGGTAAATGTTGTAAGATAAGCAGTTAAACGATGATTTGTAAGCCATTGAGTAACTTGTACTGGAGTAGTTTCAGGAGTAATGTTTGTAGTCTAAAATAAATAAAATAAATAGTAAAGATTATTCGATATAACAAACGTGCATGGGGACTATGTAAAACTATTCAAAACGTAATTTATTTAAATTTTAAAAATAAATTATTTAAAAAAAAATTTTTTTTTTTGAAATACAAATATTTTGTTTACACTTTGAATGCTTTCAAAACAGTCCCTATACACACCGATTGTAATCGGAACAATACATACATATTCTTCAACCTCCGATGTCACCTGCTGTGGTGAGACCATGTTTGCCTCCATTAGCTTAAGTGATGGTGAATTGGTTGAAGTAACTTGAATTGGACTTGAATTGGCAGTTGCTGGTGATGAGCTTGTAAATGGTAGAATTCCATCGTATTTCGGAATGTGTACTGGTGAATTCGGCCAAATTTTCATACTGAAAACAAAACAGAAAATAGTAAAATTAAATATCAATAAATAATGAAATGCACATAATTTAATATTTGCAGTTGAAAATAAATTCCTGAATATTTTACTTACAAAACTGGCTTGCTTCAATAATAAAAAATTCTCTACTGAAACTCTTCACTGTGTTAACAAACAGAACATCGGATATTAAATGAAGACCAAAATGAAAACAAGTCAAGCCAAATAATTATTGGCGAAAATGGCTAACGAAGCTAACAGAGCAAATTTATTGCTCTTTCACGTATAAATAAAAACTGCTTAAACCGAAGTC